TTTGTTCGTCAGAGAATCAACATTTTGACAAATGACATAGTAGGTAATGACGATACCTTTACCAAAATAGATACATATATCTATGTTTGTTATAAAAAAAAGCACACTAAGGAAAAAGCCAAGCTAATCAGAAGATTCCACACTGTTTACGATTTTTGTAGAGGAAATACATAGTTAAAGTCAATATTCTTTTTCCCCCCCACTCTTTTTTTTTCTTCTTTTTTTTGCATTTTGTCAAGAAAACCTGATTTGTATAAATGTTTTCTTATTCATTAACTTGTTTAGGCATAGCCTTATATACACCATCGGTTAACCTAATTACATTAATAAAAATTACCAACTAAACCATAAGTCTATTCTAATTACATAACTCCCTCAATACATGTCTTTACTTTTACTTTTACATCATTACACACGTTTATGTTTTAAATTACATACCATTTTTTTGTGTTCATCGTACCATTTTTTGTGTCCATCGTTTTTTTGCAAAACGCTTAACCTTTCATTCTTATTTTAATTTTAATTTTTTTGAGGAAGGGATTATAGGATTGCTATGTTTAGAGTTGTTCTAAATTGGTTTTTTTAATCTTTAATAGAGAGCAATTGGTACCGAACTAAGGGATTATCTTAGTGCCGGACAAATCCATTAAACTTGTGGTGTTTAAAGCGATTTTGATAAAGATGATTTTTTAGTCAGACAAAACCGAACTGGGCCTACAACATTTGGGCCTTGCGCGTCCGCTCTTTATGGTCTGAAAGGTAGAGGTCATAATGTTTCCCTGGCACTGCCTGCTGAAAAAATCCCTGAGTCATATGATGATGAGCATGATCTTCCATTGTTGTCTTGGGAAGGCCTATCAGCAACTGGAAAGAAAGCGGAAGATCAAAGAAGATGATTTTGATGAAAAAACATCAAAAAGTTTGAATGAAGCTCTTTGCAATAACAATGGTGGTCACACCTCTTCTTCTTCTTACATATGGTCTAGCCCTGCCCAGGCTAGGACCAAGCCAGGAATGATTTCTTGAAGCTCAAGTTAAACTTGAATGTATAAAGTTGTGAAAGTCTTAGAGTTGGTGCCAAAAAACATGAACAATTCTCTCTCAACAACTATCTAGGAAAAATATGCTCTGAGACCAACCAAAATCGAAAAGAAGAAGAAGATCATAAGTCAGATAATGTTAAACCTTATTAGGGTCCGCAATACAGGTAGCTGCAAGATATATACGTAGGACTAATTGTCAAGGCAGCTGCTTTCACTTCCCATACCTTTTAAGTAATCATGTTATTTAGCTTTGAACCATAAGATATATAATCTTGAAACCAATAAAAGACTTAGGAAGTAAAAATGTAAATATCATAACTTGATAATCTTATTGAATGATTTACAAGGTATATATAGGATGATTACATGAGAGACACTAGAGTAGATATATTTACAAATCAATCATTTCTTTATATATTCTACACAAACGTGGTAGCATTTCTGGATATTTTGTATCAACAAGAAGTCATGCAAGAGGACATATATTAGTTCAAAAAAATTTCCCCACTTGATGTTATCCCGAAATTGCCTGCAGCTTATTGAGTCGTTGCGTGCAAGTAACAAACCTCTTTGAATATTTCCACTCGTTTGTTTTTAAGTCTTGGGGTAGACAAAGAAATTGATTTTCCAGAGAATCCTTGTTGCATTTCCTATGGCTTCTTCGTCTTCTCCATGGGCAAATTGTGCACACGATGTTTTCCTCAGTTTGAGAGGGGAAGACACGCGTTTGGGCAAGACTCTCCACCTGATGGTTTCATGGAGCTAGCCATTGAAGCTGCAAAGCACACCGGGAATGGTCTCAATGTTTTGGGTTCATCCCTCGCAGGGATGACCAAGGAGGAGTGGGAAGATAGGGTGCCTAGGCTCAGAAATAGTATGGCTGGACAAACATTAAGAGACAGCTATGATAGGTTAAAAGAAGAAGATAAATTAAGCAATATTTCGTCACATTGCTTGTTTATTAATTTAATCACAAAACACGTGATAGGATTGCTTGAAGATAGCTAGCTGGGTGTTAAAGATGGACTTGTGACTCTAGCTGAACGGTGTCTTATACAGATATCAAAGGATAATATATCATTAAGATGCATGATTTCTGCAAGAAATGGGTATCTTGAGGAGCCTGGAAAACGTCAATTCTTGATGGATTCTAAGGAGATATGTGATGTACTTGTTGATAAAACCGTAAGTTTCCATATTCATGTTTTGCCACACCCAATACGCATGTCCTTCAGTTATTAATAGTCTAATACAATTGGTCTTTGTGCATGCCTTGTAACTTTTCTGCAAGAAATCTCGTTGAACTCTCATAATGCCAGATAGTCACCTTGAGAAATTGTGGGAAGGAGCTCAGGTAAGTTTATGAGGTTTAAATGCATTTAAGATATATAGTAGTAATTGATTAAAAACGATGCATTATATTTGTTAGTATTCTTGTCTTCTCATTATTGGTTTCACACAAGGCTTAATAAAATAAAGAGTATGGAGAGAAGTACTTGTTAAACGAATTTTGGTAAGACATGAAACGGATTTTGCAAATTCAATTCTAGACCAAAAGCTTTTGGAAGAAACCATTTTACGACATGTTTGACATAATTTTAAGTTATGGTCAGGTGCTTAAAAGCCTCAAGAGGATGGATTTGCGTAGATCTAAAAAGCTGAAAGAATTCCCAGATCTTTCCTCTTGGAGATTGCTGGAGCCTATTGATGATTCCTTCCTCTATATATTCAGAATCTCAACAGACTGAGGAAGCTAGACATGAAATGTTGCAAGAATCTGAAGGATCTTCCAACCAACATCCACTTGGAATCTCTACATTCCCTCAATCTTAGTGGATGCTCACAGTTGAAAAGTTTTCCTCACATTTCAAAGAATATTTCATATCTCTATCTTGACGAAACCAAGATTGAACAAGTTCCTGGGTGGGTAGAAGATATCTCTGGGCTCAACTACATCATAATGATGAATGGTTGCAGCAACTTA